TTCATCAGTCTGTCCATCCAGTGAGCTTAGGCTCTTTATGATTATATGATTCTCTCACAATGCTTTAGTTCTTAAATAGTTCATTACACATTTAGAAAAGTGTCGGTTCTCGTTGATAAATTTATTTGACCCATAAAGATGTACACCACCTACACGTTTATTGATATGATTAGGTTTAAAGATCCATGTGAAATTGGTATGCAAAAATAGAGGATGACTACATCAGATCACAAAATGGAAGTTAGCTGTATCATTACATAACTGCCAACTTGCATCATTATATAAACCAAACTATTGTGAATCATTGCCTAGCCTAGTTGACATATAACCTTAAGCATCCCAGCTAGCATTGACTCTTGCTTTGCCCCGCAGTGTCCGTTATTGTCAGATGTAAGTTGGTGATTTGCAAAATGGTTGGGTTTTAGATTTTTTTTACAATTATAAATATGAAATAATAAGATAGTCAAATGAAAAGAAGTATATGTTTGTCGCTAATTTCAGAAAGTTTTTGCTATGTAACTCGATTTTAACTATAGGTAGCTAAAGTGACTAATAAAAGGAATTATGTGCCTGTGGAAATTGGAAGCATCTTTAAAAGTACAGTGTTCTGTTATAGAATTTTACTAAATATGTAACATTTTATCTTTCGCATTAAGACATTTCAGAGAAAGAATAATTGTTTCCTAAGTTATAAAACTATATGCTTGTAGAAACCAACAGTACCAGAAAGTATTAGGTAAAAAGTAGTGGTTCTACTTTAATGAAAGAGTTTCTTTAATCTTATTCCCAAGCACCCTTTTATTTCTTATATATACTTCCAGTTTATCTGTGTATCCACAAGGATATAAAAGAATATATACCTTTTAAAAAATTCAACTGACAAATGCACACATTGTGCTCCAACTTCCTTCTTCGTTTAGCAAAATATTTCAGGCATCAGTGCACATGAAGCATGTCCTTAGCTTTGGATCTTCCTCATCCTTTTTCAGCTCTGTATCTACCTCATTCTTTTTCGTAGTTTCAAAGATGAACCATGTCTTTCCCCGTAAGCTGTTTAACCTTACATTTTTAACTACCGCTTTTTAATAATGCCTGAATATGGGCGAGGGGGACTGTTGGGGAATGGCTAGCCCCTAACAGCTAATCATGGGTTCAGTAAGTGCAATTTTACGGTTAAGATATATAAAAACAGTATTATAAAGTCATAGAGAACGAAAGAGATAGGAGAGAGAGTCAAATAAAGAAGTCAGACATATTTCATGGTAGCATGCTCACCTCCTGGATGACCATGGTCTTACCAGCCTGCTCCGCACACAGCGTGGGCCAATGGCAGGAGAGTGCAGGAGCAAGAGATGTTTGTTGCTAACCAAGCCTTATCTATCTTTTTAGGGGACATAATTACAGGTAACCTCACACTTCATAGGAAGGGGCTGTAAAATGGGCAATACGAGCAATAGGAAGGGAATATACAATGGGCATAGGCGTAACAGGAAGGGGAAGGACAAGAGTTATACATGTGACAAGAAGGGCGGACCCTAGATTCATGATGGTGGCCTAACCTTGGTCACCCTGGAGTGGGCTTGACCTCCCTGGGCTCTCCTTCAGGGAAACAATCTGCTACTATCCTTATCACAAAGGAGTGGGCCCTACTTATTGTGGGATAAACCAGTGGTGTCTGCTTGCTCTAGATGGCTGATAACCCTTAGGGAGAATAACCCCTGACCTACTTCTGTTGACCTCCAAGTATATAATCATTTGCCACGTGTAGCAAGCAGCTAAGTTTGGGATATATTTGAGGGCAACAACTTGGGAGAAATTTTTCTGTTTCCCATAATTCCCCCTTTTATTTTATATATAAAATTTAAAAGAGCCACAGGGACTACATGGTTATTTCCTATATATTGAAAGCTGTCAAGGCAAATTTAATGACCAAATTAATATAGCTAAGCCAAAAACTCAGGCTTATGGCAAATATTTTGAATCCAGGCATGGGGGATAAAGTCCCCCTATCCCCATCTGCTATTGGAGGAAGGTATGAGAGGGATTAGATAACGCGGCGAGGAGAAATAGAGCAAATAAGAATGTCTGATTCTATAGGGAGATAGAATCAACCATGTGCTCACTTTAAGGCAGCACAGCTTTAAGGAGAGAAACTGGAAATGATAGACTGACTACTGCAGGAAAATGTACTTGGACTTTATCTCCAACTACCAGAGTGGCGGCTTTCTTACTGTGGAACACTGGCTTTCCAGATTCCCTCCATACCAGTCAGGGAATGAGTCCCAGTCTTATTTCCCTCAGTGCTAGTTTCCCACAGGGGGCTTCAAAAAACTCATGAAAAGATGATGGGATTTTCCATGAATTTTATGAAGGCCCCTCCTATTAGTTAATGCACCAAATCATAATCCTCACTCTACAGGACAATAAGTGTGGGGGGAGGTCAGATGCACAGGCATTCCCTCCCCTGAAGGCAATCAGTTGCCAGACTGCTGTCTCATCCCACCGCAGGGGTGGGCCTGCTCCCTGCCTCTGGGGACAATGGACAGGCTCCTGTAGGCGGAGTTTTCACCCTACTGATAATGTTCCTATGGAGACCCAGAGACCACCCCCTAGACCACCCTCTCATTGCTATGTAACCTATAGTGCAACTCCTCCCTGTGACGTATATCTCTACCTGTAATTAGTGGGCTGGCATGCCCCCAAAAGGTATATAGGCGTGAGTCAGCGATATAGAGCTCTCTGACTACCCCCTGATCTCTTCTTGCTACTCACCCCCTAGTCACTCCCTTCTCTTCCCTCTCTCTCTTGTTCCCTTGCCCTCCTTCCCTTCCCCCTCTCTCCACGTGGACCCACCAAGCTGGGCTGAGGTGAGCAATGCTACCATGTAATGTGTCTGACTGTATCATTGTAATATCTCTTTTATCTCTCATGTTCTTGATGACTTTAATATAATACTTATATATCTCAACCGTACAATTGTGCATTACTGAACCCAGAAGTAGTATTACTGAACCAGTGAGTTCTAGTAGCGGGTGGGGCTGGTACCCCACCCCCCTCGCGCAACTTTTAATTTAATACTAAAAATAAGTTCATTAACATAGCCAATTTTCTTATCTAAACTGAATACTTCTCTTATTTGGTGGTTTAGAATATAATTCTGTTTTGCCCTTGAAGGTTTCCGATTATATTTCTTGCCTAAGTATCCAAATCTTTGTGACATTTTGCTTATAACGGTTTAATTATTCAGCCATTTTTCATTATTGAAAAGTTTTTAGTATTATAGTTTATGGAACAGAAAGGGGTTTTGAAGATTTCCAATCTAGGAATCAACCAGTTAGCTATAGGGAATGCAGAGTTATTGAACTGTTTTTAAAAATTCAGATTGCTAATGGGTAATATAAATTGACTTGTTAAAACTATACAGAATGATTTAAATGCCATGTAATTTTGCTTTTTCTTGCCTTTTTTTTAGTGCATTATGGCCACATGATTTAGTTCATTCTGGTCAGAAACAAGAAATTTGATTCATTTACATTACAAATGCTAACTCTTTAACTAAAAGACTACAGATCCTCATTCACTTTTAGATTCCACAGGCACCTCCCAAGAAAGGCCTGGCAATTGACTGGTTGATAATCAGCACTAAACACCCTGTGTAGTAGAGTGTTACATGTTACACTGACACACATGTGGTCACCATGAGTTACAATCAGCCTGATGTCAACTGGTTTTATTATCAGAAGGATATTGTGTTAAGGCTTTATATAAATTTAAGATGTTTGCTTGTATAATATCTTAGTTGTTCCCTTGATTCCTCATTTTGTAACGAGCTCTACAATTTTTATGTAGTACTTTCTCTGAGATGATAGCATAAAGATATTACAATTAACATATTGCTAGTTTGTATTCATAGATTAAACTTCATTCTCTTTTTAAAAATTAAAGCAATTAGCTAATTCTTAGATTTCCAGAAAGCATGAATTATTTATTTTATAGGGCTTTGTTTTATTTTCCTAAAGTTTATAGTCCTTTCATTGGGACTACTAGCATGCTGGTTATAGTAATAAGAAGCTTAATAGCATAGGTGATTCTGAAGTTCAGTACATTGGGTACTATTAAGTAGCATTTAAATGTGACGAGACATGCTTTATTAGGTCATTAATGTACACCTTGTGTGAATATAGAATCATAATTTTACTTCCTAAGGCATACATTAATTAACAAATAAAACATGCCCTGGAGTGTTGTCTTATGACTGTAATACAGCTAATATATTTTTAGTAATTTTTTTATTTGTATCCTGCAGTTACTCTGGGCATACGGGACCACATGCTCAGACTTTAGTGCTATTATACAATGTTAAAGAACTGTATTCTTTATTCTTACCTTTTTTTTTAAAAAAAACAAAGTTCTCCTTCACTATAAAACTTGAAAGATTTGATTCTCAGACTTTAAAAGAGGCATTTCTTTCAGAAATAACTTGAATTTACACATTCTTAACAGAAAATACCATTAATTTCACCTGGCTATTAAGTTGGGTGTTTTCCCATACTTACAGTTAAACTCTTTTTTATTAAATATAAATGTAATAAAAGACATTTACTCTATACTAGTCTAAGAAGTGTTCCCTCGAATTGGATATGTTGCTTTGCAGTTCTTTGTAGCTTTGAGTGGTCTGCTAAAGGTAAATTATATCTAAATGTCCAGAGAATTATATTCTTAAATTACTATTAGCAGTACATTTACTAAACTCGTCTTTCCTTTGTATTTTATATTGTTGTAAAGAAAGTTTTTCTCTCATAACACTGAATCATATTGGCAAAATAACGATGCTTTATTATACCATACAATATTTATTAAAATCATTTGGTTGTAGATTTTGGAATTGGAGGGTATTTATTAGAAATTTAAATTTCATTAAGTGATAAAACTGATGTGGGTGTTCATTTTCAGCCATGCTTGATGATTTCTCTTTGAACTTAAATTTTATCTCTGTTTAGGATTGTGGATAATATGCCTGTAACATGGTGTTACGATGTTGAAGATGGTCAAAGGTACTGTAATCCTGGATTTCCTATTGGCTGTTATGTTACAGATAAAGGCCATGCAAAAGATGCCTGTGTTATTAAGGTAAGTTCATAAGAAACTGTGCTACTTTAAAATACGCCTTGTTGGTCAAGTTCTGTATTGTACAAAAATTGTTATGTCTACTGAATGTATATTATTTAGATATTCTGAAGTTACTTCTATTTTAAATTTAAGCCTCCTTCAAAGCCAGAATTCACTGTCATTCAGTCAATTCTGAGTCATAGCGATGCTATGGACAGAGTAGAACTACCCCCTAGGGTTTCAACGCCTGTACATCTTCACAGTAGCAGGCTGCCCCATCATTCTCTCTCAGAGCAGCTAATTGGTTCAAACTGCTGGCCTCTTGGATAGCAGCCAAATGCTTTAACCACTGAATTTCTTAGGTTCCTTGAAGCTAAATTAATAATGTATAAATTAAACTCTACAACCAAAATAATCCAGATTCAATTTGCAACTGTGTTAGCCGAATTGACTAGAGAAACAAATCCAGTGACACACATATATGAGCTTTATATCAAGAAGTAATTATATATCAAGAAAACGTCCCAGTCCGGTCCAACTGAAGTCTGTAAGTCTGATACTAGGCTATAACTCACACAACCACATGCAGTGATGCAGAATGCAGGAAGATCAAAGTCAGTTTGTACAACGTCCTGTGGATCCGAGATGGGTGGAAACATGGCAGGGCTCCAGCAGCTCTCTGGGTGTCCAGCAAACAGGAAAGTCAAGGCAGAGAGCAGGGAAGATTTCCCTCATCCTCCTCATGAGAAGGCCATGCCCACCAGGAGGCATCATTGACATCTTGGGTACCAGCCCTACACTTTTATATATCTTCAAGTTGACATACAATTTTGTAATTACAACACATCCTCTTATCAAAGATCCCTCTAGGTTATGAACACATTTACTGAGAGTATGTTGTATACTGAATACTATGATGAGAACACAGTTCTGACCGTCTTAAAAGTTAGATCTTATATTAAAAAATATAGATAGGATATCAAAAATACCTCATTATAAGGATATTAAATCATTGAAATTTGTATTACCAGTTGGATTTACACCCCTGAAATCTTGTTTAATAATACATATACCATTTTAAAAGCCCGTTGTCATTCTATTCTTTTGTATTTAAAAATATTAATAAAATAAGATTAATAAAGGAAACTAAAAATATTTGGGAATATATAAAATAAATATATATAGATGAGATTGATTTAATCTCAATGACTATGATATGATATAGTAGAGTTTGGGCATAAAACTGGTTTTAGTGATTAGTGCTTTTATGAGAGTTGATTAGAGATGCTTGAATAAATTAGGTTATTGATTAAATGTAAGGAAAGTGTTTAAAAGTATGAAATTTAGTGTGTTCTAGCATGTAGATTCTGAAAAAAAATTTTTTAGAGGAGCTTATACCAAGGTATCAAGTAGAAAAAGTTTTAGAAAAGATGATGGCCACATCTGTACAAATATGCTCAGTACAGTTGCTGTATGGAAAGTTATAAGAGATGTCAGAGCCCCAATGAAATGTTAAAAAAAAATTTGTTGTTGTTGTATCATAAGCGAAGAGCTAGAAAACATTGTGTTCTTTTTAGCTGGTCCTAAGATTCATGTAAGAATTAGAATATTATAATGCATAATTTGTCTTTATAATTTTTGGCTGATAAAGTTTTTAAACTTAAAATTTAGGCATTTTTATGGAGAAGGATTAAAATTCTTTTCAACTTTAAATTTCATATTTGTAATGGCCCAGTTTAAAGTTTTATGTTTTAACTATTGTATAGCCATTTTCTACATTTAACGTAAGTTCTGTTCTACAGTCAGAGTTTCATGAAAGAGATACCTTTTACATCTTCAACCATGTTGATATCAAAATATACTATCATGTTGTTGAAACTGGATCCATGGGAGCAAGACTTGTAGCTGCCAAACTTGAACCAAAAAGGTAACTAAAGTGACAGAGTGTCAATAAATACAAAGTAGGCAAGTAATATAAGTAATTTGGGTCCAGTGAACTCTTCAACAGAATTTGTCATTTAGCATGGGTTTCAGTTAAACTCTCTTTCAAGAATTTCAAGTTAAACTTGAGCTATAGACTATCCAAATAAATCATACAAATAATTATTTTTCTGTCATGATAAGGGGTCAGTGTAGCTCTTTATTTTGTTTTCCAATCATAAGTGTGGAAGGGAGGACAAGCATGATTGGGGCAGTGTTCTACCTTACAGTGCAACTCTGCCTCACAATAGTTAGAATTTCTAAAGCCTTCACATAGTATTAGGTGCCAGTAGGGATTAGCTATTGAAAGACTATCTCATCAGGTTCTTCATTATTTCTTGCTATGAAAGTAGATAGGCTTTATTTGAGAAATCCCTTTTAGAGTCAGGTTTTTTTCCCCCCATGACGTTTCATTTCCTGAATTAGTTAGCCATTTGGTCACAATACTGGTGGATTGGGGGGAAGGGGCGGGCGCGAGATGGATGTCATTCAGTTATTTTTTTTAAAAGTAATTTTAAAAATAAAAAAAAGTTATTCAGTAATTTTTTTTAAAATCATGCTCTTCAGATAAAGTATTTTCAAATGTCTGTTTTTAATTTTGTACTCCATTTTTAAAAAGAAATTTCTCAAAATTTAATTTTATCACTTACCAAAACTAAACCCACTGCTGTAGAGTGAACCCCGTAGGATCCTAGAGAACTGCCCTATAGTCTTTCCAAGGCTATAAGCTGTCAGCTACATCTTTATCCCAGGTTCAAGTGCCAGACTATCACATAGCAGCTGAGCTCTTAACCACTGTGCTGCCAGAGTGCTTTTATTATGATAAAATAGAGATACTTTTAACTATATGAAGTGAATATTTCTACTGTTAAATGTGGCATGAATCATTTAACCTTTGACTCATCAGCATTGTGAAATACATACAAAATAGTTCACCTTTATTTTACCCCGTTTTTTCAAAACTGTATTGTATTACCATCTTGCCTAAATGTTTCTTCCCACAGCTTCAAGCATACCCACATAGATAATCCAGACTGCTCCGGACCCCCCATGGATATAAGTAACAAGGCTTCTGGAGAGATCAAAATTGCCTATACTTACTCTGTTAGTTTCCAGGTGAGTTTGTTTTTATCTTTAGTGTAACTCAGAAATGATTTTATATTTGTACTATTTGAGCTAATTAAAAAATATTAATGATAAAACTTGTCAAACCAATAAGCTTTTAATGAGTTGATTTTTTAGTAGTTTGTCAGTGCATCAGACTGCATAATCACTCTAAACCAGTGTTGCCCAAAGGGGGTGACATTGCCTTCCCCCACCCCTCACCAAGGGGTTGCTGAAATGATCCGAAGAGGTATAAAAGCAGATACCTACACTTTATCCTGGATTATGGGCTGTAGTACAAACATTTTTCATTGCCGGGGGGTAGGGGGGGCGGGGGGGCTGAGAAACTTTTTTTTTTTTTTTTCTAAAAAGAGAACAGTGGGCCAAATTAGTTTGGGAACCTGTGTTCTAAACTAAGTCTTAGTTTAAAGGAGAAGATATAAGAGATTGGAAAATTAAGCCAGATTAAGTGTTGAGTGTGTCATACTGTGTAAGACAAATAGTAGAAAGTAAGCATAGATGATGGTATTGAAATGTCAACAATATATTCAAAAGCATTTGGGAAATTGATTTTTTTTAAATCACTATTTGAGTATAAGTGTAAATGGAAAGTTTATTTTTGATAAGTTATTTGTAATGCACTAAAGAACTTGAAAGAAGTGTTTTCATTAATGGATACCTTTCTCAAGAGGAATGTAAAAATTTTGAGACTCTTCGACCACATTCTATCTCTTTAAAAATGAAAATAGTTTTTGAGAAACGATGTACAAATGCGCTTTACACAATTGATGTGTGTATGGATTGGGATAACAGTTGTATGAGCCCCTAATAAAATGTTTTTAAAAAAATGAAAATAGTTCAGCCATCCATTATGTCACGACATTTACAGTTACTATGTACAGTTTAGTTTTGCCAGCCTCATGCAGAAGACAGTCTCTATTTCGCTCTAATTATTGAGCTCAGTGTTGGTAACTACTAACAGATGCTTACTGTGCCAGAGTGATTGACTGTGGCTTGGATAAGTAGATGTCCCATAGGCTTAGATAGAAGGCATCCCAGAGAGTAAAGAATATGTTATTCCATTTAGTTATTTTCTGAAAAATTTAAATACTACTGTAAATTTTTATATCCAAAATACCTTTACTAATTATAAATTTAAAGCAAGACTTAAAAAATACAAGTACCTATGTATTGTTAGGAACTCCTAAGTATTTTTTATTTAGTGTTTAATCTCCTAATTTCTCCTAGACTTGAATAAGCCTAAAATTGAGTCTCAAGTATGATATCATACCCTCGTTATTATAATTAGAAGTTGCAGTTGTTGATTAATGGAAAGACGGACAAGTGGTGAATTGAAGTTTTGAAATTCATACAGTCAGTAAATGCATTTTTAAGGTCTCATTTGTTTTTTCTCCCCTCCCTTCCCTGTAGGAAGATAAAAAAATCAGATGGGCATCCAGATGGGATTATATTTTGGAATCTATGCCTCATACCCACATTCAGTGGTTTAGGTAAGAGTACAGTTAATTGACTTTATATTTTCTGCTGCTTCTAATTTTTGTCCCTTTGAACATCTCATTTGATCTCTGATCCTTTCCCATTATTCCAAAGTTTGGACTTCTGAATCAGATAGACTTTGGTTCGAGTTCTAGCTTTAAGTGAGTCAAGGCAAATCACTTTTTCAGTATGTCTCCTTGTCTAGAAATCGTTACCTCATAGGATCTTGATGAGGATTAAAGCAGATAATTAAATATTGAATTTAAGCAAGTTAGCTGTCAAATAAGAGTGCCAAATAAATAGTTATTGTTTTTACTGTTGTTGGTTTTTCAATCATTATTCTTTTCAAAGCATGACTCAGAAGTTTTATATAGAAAGTTATTTATGGTGCCATTACTTTCCCTTTTCTATTAAGCTAACTAATCCTTTTGGTACTCACTAATTTTCCCTGTACATTTGTTCTTCGGTAAACTTGTGAGGGTGAGGATCAGTTTTTAATTCCTTGCCATTTGGCTGCAGTGATTCCGAGCGTAGTTATTTAATGATGTTGGCCAGGAGAAACGGTGGCTCTGCAGCGCACAAGTCTGCATCCTTCTCACTGTGGTGGTGCCCACAGCCCTAAGTAGACAGCAGAAGTACTGTGCGTAAACTGAGAAAGCCACAGCAAGGGAACATGGGAGAGCATCGACTATTGAATTTGTTGAGTTATAGGTAATAAAGTTCATATTCAAATTGATCAGAGCCATTTAATGTTACTCAGTAAGCCATTGTACATCAAGTTTCACTATTTCAGAAGTTCAACTAGAAATGAATCATGGTGTGCTTATTTCTACAGCATAATGAATTCCCTGGTTATCGTCCTCTTCTTATCTGGAATGGTAGCTATGATTATGTTACGGACTCTACATAAAGATATTGCCAGATATAATCAGATGGATTCTACGGTGAGTAGAAACTTTTAACCACTCACTGGCCAACAGCAGTCATTATGTTTACTTTGGAACCAGCCTAAATAGCTTTAGGCAGAACTGCCTTTTAAAATGTGATATTGAATTTAAGAAAATGGTAACGATTTGGTATTCTCTAGAAATGTCCTCAGCATTCTAGAGACAAAGATAGATCCCCAGAGCTGAACTAGTGGTCATACTCTGATCGCTGTCACTTAGCCTGGTGCAGAATCACATGGATCTCATTCTGGTCAGAATCCCCATACCCACCATGCACCTGGTTTGTGGAATAAATGGCAGAATAGAGTGGACAGTCAGTAAGTTTTAATTGTATATGTGTATATATGTATGTGTTAAATATTTACATATGTGTATATTTAATTTGAATAATTATGATTTTGACATTTTGGTATATTCAAAGCAATATAGCAACCTGGAGTTTTTTGTTTTATTCTCAAAACACATTGAGTTGCATAATGATATTCAAATTGTACATTTTTATTTTATAATAGAAAACTGAAAATTATAAGAATTGCAGTAATTTCTAAATGAATGCAAAAACTCAAGTTTTTATTTTTTTCTCTTCCCTAGTTTCTTCAGCCTTTCTCTCCAATCTTTCCATCCTGTTCTATTTAGAAAAGAATGTACCAATATGTATAAATTTGGGGGATTTATAGTTTTTCTCATAATTTTAGATGTCTTACTAAATATTTTATTTAAATAAATTTCATATCTTATATATCTTACTAAATATTTTATTTAAATAATTTCATGATACTCATCACAATTTTTAATTGTACGGACCCACCCTAAAGAATATGGCCAGTGGCCTCGCTGCTTACATCTCACTCTCACTCTTTTCCTCCCTCCAGTCCTTTACAGTGTAGCAGTGAGCCCCTTAAAGCTTAAATGAGATCATGTCACTCCTGATCATGCTGCTCTCAGCTTCCCCTTTAACTCAGAGTCAAAGTCTTTGTCATGTCTATAAATAAAACCAAATCCATTGCCATCCAGTCAATTCTGACTCTTAGCCACCCTGTAGGACAGAGTGGAACTGCTGTGTCTTTGAATTTTTGAGACTATAAATCTCCGTGGGATCTGACAGCTTTACCTTTCTCCTGTTGAGCAACTGTTGGGTTTGAACCACTGACCTTATGCTAACAACTTATTGCTTAAGCCACTGTGCCACTAGGTCTTTCATACTGCCTGCCAGGTGCCAAGTAATCTAATCCTGTATTCTCAAAATTCTGTTCCAACTATACTGACTACATTCCTGGTCATTGGGCACTGTTGTATTTCTGGTATTTCAGATAATCCCTAGCATGTAGTTGGTGCTTGGTAAACATTCATTAAATGAATGCATAAATAAATCCATAAATGGACCACAGTTGTTGATACATTTCAGCTTATGATAGATAAACAAGGTCTCCAAGGACCCCTTCACCCTAACTTCTAACAGGTGAGCTGAAATCAGAACAGGAAACCCTGTAAACATGAGAAGTTGCCATGGGGGTCAGTGGCTATATCAAGACTTCACCCAGTTAGGAGATTAAACTTTGGGTCAGTAATGAGGGAGCTGAACCCCATCATTACAACTGGATTCTTGAAATGGGACCAAAATAGACCTAGGTCAGTAAGTGCCATCTGATTCTTAGCAGAATAAGTAGAAATCCTCAGAAAGAAAGTCTCTAAATTAAATATGAATTTTCTAACAGAGATTTACAATATATAATAATGGGATTTAGACATTCTTCCTCCCCTCCAAAAAATTTCAGTTACTGGACTTATTATAGAATATAAAATACATGAAAAAATTCCAGTTAAGAATGTTTCAGAACAGTTGAAGATGAAAGATGGGAATCCATAGATAAAAGGAAACACAATTTCTTAAGTATAATATTTTTAAATTCGCCCCTACATGAACTGTGATAAAACCATTGAACACCAAAGACAAGGAGAAGATCTTAGAATCAAAGGACAAAAACAAGCAGACAAACTGGCACCTGCTAAGGACTAACAATTAAATTGACAATGGACCCCAAAGATCATGGAATAATAATTTTAAATTGATGAGGAAAATTAACTGTTTACCTACAATCATGTACCCCAAAAAAAGTCATCTTTCAAAAATGGTGCACCCCTACTGAAGAATTTATATAGAAATGGAAAGGAAGATAACCCTGTAGGCAGGTTTCAAAGAATTGCTGAACAAAGAAATCCTAAATAAGCATTTTTATATATAATAATAATGCATTGTGGATATTTATTTTTAAAATGTCTATTAAGGAGTCGAATGGAGGTGTTGACTAGGCCACTGTATATGTGTTGTGTCTAAGGGCAGTGGTGGCTCAGTGTTAGGATTTTCACCTTCTTGGCGGCTCTGCCACCTCTTATCTGTCAGTGGAGGTTTGTGAATTGCTGTGACCACGTGGCAAGTCAGCTCATCATAGTGTGGGGCTTGCGTGTCGTGATGCTGGAAGGTATGCCACCAGTGTTTCAAATATCAGCGGTGTCTCCCGTGACGAGCGGGTTTCAGCAGAGCTTTAGATTAAGAACAGACTACAAAGAAGGGAGTGGCAGTACACTGTTGAGGGGATCACCACTGAAAACCTTATGAATAGCAGCACAACATCTGCTACAGTGCTGGAAGGTGAGCCCCACAGCTGACTTTTATGACAGATGGAGCAAAGCTTTCAGGACCTACATTTGCTGATGGAGGGCAACGACAAACAGCTACAAACATCTACTAATAATTGCAATGTGGAGTGTATGCAGCATGAACCTAGGGAAATTGGAAGTCATCAGAAATGAAAGCTTAATGATTGATGATATCCTACCATTAGTGAGCCGAAATGAACTAGTATTGGCCATTTTTAGCCAGACAGTCATGTAGTGTCACATTCATTGTCAAAAAGAATGTTTCATGGTCTATCTTGCAGTGATACCTATCTATTTGATACAGCTATTACTCAAATGTATGCAGCCACTAATATCAATGATATAGAAATTGAAGTTTTACTTCTTCAGTTTGAAATTGATCAGACATGCAATCAAATGCATATTTGGAATCAAGATGCATAATTACTGGAATGTAGAAGTTGGAAACAGAGAAAGGCTTGGTATTTGGGAAAGGTGGCCATGATAGAGATGAAGCCGAAGATCATATGATAAGAGTTTTGAAAACCAACTACTTCATAGCAAATACCTTTTTCATTGCCTACATAAGAGACAATGGAGAGTCACAGTATTATCAGCTCAGACAAAGCCAATACCCACTGTAGAACTGACCATCAATTGCTTACATGAAAGTTCAGGTTGAAGTTGAAATTTTAAACAAATCTGTAATAGCCTCAAATTGCAATATTGATGGATTCTGTTGGTAAAATACAGAATGTTGTAGGAAGCACCGTAAGAAGATAGAGGGACTATATAGAGTCACTACACTAAAAACAATTGGTCAATATTCAACCATTTGAAGAGGTGGCATATGATTGAGAAACAATTGTTTTATAGGAGGAACTCCAAGGTAGAATGAAGGCATTAGTGAGAAACAAGAACTGTAGGAATTAAGGAAAAACCAATTGAACTGTTTCAACAAACTAGTGCTAAGCTAGAAGCATTCACTAGTCTATGCCATTTGGAAATTTAGAAGAGACATACTTAGCCAGATGACTACAAGAGATCCACATTTATTCCTAGTCCAAAGAAAGGTGACCCAACAGAATGCAGAAATTAACAAAAATATCATTGATACCACATACAAATAACATTTTTGCTGAAAATAATTTTGAAATAGTTGCAGCAGTACATGAAAGAGAGCTTCCAGAAATTCAAGCTGAATTCAGAGGAGGTCTTGAAACAAAGGATATCCTGACTGATGTCAGGTAGATCTTGGCTGAAAGCAGAGAACAGTAAAGTTGCTTAATTGTGTTTTATTCACTATGCAAAGGCATTTGGCTATGTGGTTCATAACTAACTACAGATGCCAAAGGAAAGCATTGGAATCCAGAACATTTCACCGTGCTTATGTGGAACCTGTACGTAGACCAAAAGATGGTGTTGAAAACAGAACAAGGGAACACTGCATGGTTACAAATCAGGACCAATGTATCGTTAGAGTTGCAGCCTATCCCCACACTAATTCAGTCTGTGTGGTGAGCAAATGTCTGAGAGGCAGGACTGTTTGAAGAAGAACATGGTAGCAGGATTGGAGGAAGACAAATGAACAATCTTAATTACGGAGATGATACAACTTTGCTTGCTAAAAGCAAAGAAAGCTTGAAACTCTTACTGATGAAGATTAAACATGGCAGCTTTCGTTATCAATTGCAACTCGATGTAAAGAAAACAGAACTTCTCACAATTGGACCATCATGATAAAAGGAGAAAACACTGAAATTGTCAAGGATTTCATTTTACTTGAATCCACTATCAATGTTAATGGAAACAGCATTCAAGATATAAATAACATACTGTATGAGATAGTTTATTGTGCCAGCCTGGCCGATAAACACAAGTGGGAATAACTGAAGGGCAAAGAGATAAATGGCTTGGTGAGCCTCGCCTTTCTTGTCTCTCGCTCTTTGATCATTGGACCAGTGTGCGGCTGCCTTGCTTGTTCTGTGCCTCAATTTAAAGGCTACACTACCTGTGGGATGCCTAGCCTGTGGACTGTGTCGCTGTAAGTTGAGGTCCCTTTAAGACATCTCTGGAGCTGGGGACTGGAGGTTGGTGACCTGGATGACAATTGGTGACGTGCCTTGTGATTGGCTGCTGTACTGACATAGCCTAGCTCTCTAGAAATAGAGGAAGATCTGGCAGCAGACTGGACTTGAAGGACTGCTAGTCTCTCACAACTCTCTCTCACGGGAGTGAGTTGCATTGACCCATTTGTAGTGCTTTATAATTTAACTGTTTACTTCTTGTATTATATATTTATCTATATGATTTAACAGTTCATTTCTTGTTATATATCTAATTATCTTTATAAATAAATATATTTAATTATCAGCAATTTGGTTTTATCTCTCTAGAGAACCCCGTCTAACACATTTTGGTACCAGGAGTGCTTCTAGAGAAATAAAATCATAAATATGGGCTTCTTAAATTGGCTCTCCAGCCTGATTAGTCTTAACACTAGTGATGCTACTTCAACATCCCAAAGCATGGATAAGTCTGCTACTCCTCCTGATCCATGGTGTGAAATAGCAAAAATAATACCTAAAGTAGCACCACCGATAGATGAGGTGATGGTTAAAGGAGAGGCTCTGGGTGATCGTATGTTTGATATTTTCCAGGAGTTTTGTAAGGATGACAAGTATAGGGAAGCTGGTTGGCTGGTCCTTCTTACAATGGACAGTGTGATTAAGGAGAGGTATGATCTCAGAGCCTCAAAAGTGCGCTTTAAGTGCAGACTAACGGATTTAAAAACTTCCATCTGTGCTACAAAGGAGAGCCTTCTCTCTGCTAGTCTCTCACAACTCTCTCTCACGGGAGTGAGTTGCATTGAGCCATTTGTAGTGCTTTATAATTTAACTGTTTACTTCTTGTATTACATATTTATCTATATGATTTAACAGTTCATTTCTTGTTATATATATCTAATTATCTTTATAAATAAATATATTAAATTATCAGCCATTTGGTTTTATCTCTCTAGAGAAACCTGTCTAACACACTGTATTTTGCAAATCTACTGCACAAGACCTCTTCAAACTATAATAAAGATGTCACTTTAAGGAGCCCTGGTGTAGTGGTTACAAGTTGGGCTGCAATCTGTATGGTTTGCAGTTTGAAACCACCAGCAGCTCAGCAGGAGAAAGACTGTTTTCTACTCCTATAAACAGTTTGTTTCAGGAACCCACAGAGTATTGCTGTGAGTCAGCACTGACTCGATGGCAGTGAGTTTGGTTTGGGGGGTTAAGGATGAAGGTGTGCCTGACTCACTCACTCCATGATATTTTCAGTCACCTTACATCTGTGTGAAAGCTGAAAGCAACGGATAGGGAATACTGTGGAAGAATTGATGCATTTGAGTTATGATAGAGGTAAAGAATATTGAAGTACCATGATCTGCCATCATAAACAGATCTGTCTGTAAAAGTTCAGACAGAGTGCTTCTTGGAAGTGCAGGTGATGAGGCTTGGTACAGGGCCTGCAAAGTAGGAGGAAGAGCCTCAGTGAAATGGATTGACAATTTTTTTTTTAATGACATGGGTTGAAACACTGGCCTCATGCATTGCATAATTATGAGACTGGGGCAGGACTGTGCAGTGTTTTGTTCTCTTTTTACCTGAGATCGCTCTCAATTGGAACAGATTCAAAACCACCTAACAACAACAGGAAAAAAATCAGCCAGTGTAAACCCTTTTATGTGTAAGGGCCACCATGTGTCAGAGGCCCATTTAACAGCATCTGAGAGCAACATATGTTTGCATATAGTTTGGACTAGTGATACAAATTTATTACTATGTTGTAAGCTTACTGCATTAGCAAAGTAAGTATAACATGAAAGCTGCTATTTTGGAGGTTATCATTAGAGTATCGTTTCAAAGTTAAATCATCAGATTGGATTATAAAGCTTCACATAGAGAGATTAGCTGTCACATCGTTCTATGTTTCTCTTTAAAATTTCTCAATAGCTGTATTTATAGACCTTACCACATGACATTTCTTTAAAAGCAATCAAGAAAGCCACAGTGTCAAGTCACGCTTCATATTTCAGATTTGAAATAAGGACTAGTACTTTAAAATTTTTCTTTAATTTTATGTAACATATTCAGCTGTGAATGAGCTGTGTAGTTGTCTTGGTGAAACCACATGAAAAATTAAAACTATTGTATTCCCTTTTTAGGAAGATGCCCAGGAAGAATTTGGCTGGAAACTGGTTCACGGTGATATTTTCCGCCCTCCGCGAAAAGGGATGCTGTTGTCTGTCTTCCTAGGATCAGGGACTCAGATCTTAATAATGACGTTTGTGACTCTGTGTAAGTGTTATGTGAAAATTAAAAAGCAGGAAATACTTATTGTCAGTTTTAGTAGTTAGTTGAAAACCAGTTTTCCAAAATGAGATAGACTACGTTGAAGAGTTCTTTTAGCTCTCAAGATCATGGGTTAGCTGTGCCCAAAGGCTTGATTCTCCATATGCCCCTTAAAGAGCCCAAATTTGAAGCTGTATTGTTTTTAAACTGAGCCAAAGTAAAAATCATAGTGGAAATGTTTTTTTATTCATGTTTCTTTTAAAAACTGCACTTGAATCTCAATAAAGCTGAAAGCCTCTCAGCATTTAGTCAGCCTTCCCCCCAAAGAGAAAGTGGGGTCTGTGGACTCTCATAAGATACTTCTAATGTGGAGTTTGCTGTGTATGTGAGCAAATAAATGTAGTACATTAAATGTTCTTGAAGAGTCAATGTGGCAGCATGATAGCATAGTGTCTGTGTTCATGAAGTTGTGTTCTCATTTCAAAGCAGAGCATTCTTCATCATTTTCCAAAAAAGGAGCCATTAATACATTTGATAATAACTTTTTTTCTTTCAGTTTTTGCTTGCCTGGGATTTTTGTCACCTGCCAACAGAGGAGCGTTGATGACTTGTGCTGTGGTCTTATGGGTGCTTCTGGGAACTCCTGCAGGTTACGTTGCTGCCAGATTCTATAAATGTAAGTTTACATTTATACTCTGTTAAGTGTCAAATCAGCCACCTCATTTATACCATCAGTGGGTCTGAACCTTTGTATCAGATCATTACAGCTCTTACTAGGTTTGTATTGTTAGAAACCTGGCTTGTAAAGTGAAGGACTGTCCCTTGATTTAGTTGTTCAAAAATCCCATGCAGAGAAGTAAGAAAATGTATGTATTTCTTACACACCATTCTTTCTTTCCCTTTTCTATTAAGGTTTGATTTACTAAAATTTCAACAAGACAACTTAACTTAGATTTGCTATTTTCATAGAAGCGTATGTAGACTCGTAAAGGAAGAAAATATAGAAACAAGCAGCCCCTGATTTAATAGCTAAAACAGAATACATACAAGTATGTGTTATTTTACATGTGAGATGCCATACTTAAAATTGCATCAGTTAAGTATTGATAACCAGCAACTGTATTTAAAGTAAATTAAGAGCTCACTATTTAAAAAGAGCCCCAGAGTAAGTTACTTTTTATAATGTAATTAGTTACATTCTTTTATGATCTACTTCTCTGAAGTAAAATGAAGTTCAATTCAAAATTTATTTTGAATTGCAAGGGTAAGTTTGTGAGGAGACAAGTTGGAAAGCAGCCTCTCCAGGCCAGTGAATGTCCGGGTTGATGGCACTGAGAAATATGAAGTCCCATCGAGTAATTTGTGATTTAAAACATAAACGAACTAGGGTTTCCCACAGTTTCCTGACTAAATTTGAGGTGAAGCACAGTAGAGTTACATAAGTGACCTTAAAGTGGGCACTGTTAGAAATAATTAGCTTACCTTTGCCAGGTACAGTTCTTTCCTAAGCATTAAAAGTATTCTGTGTATATATATGAGGGGATACCTAAAAAACTAGAAATTATTTTAACTTAAAAATATTTAAGTTTTTTTTTACAAAAACAACCTTACCACTTTTAAAGTACTCTCCATTACACTTAATACATTTGTCAAATCTACGATTCCACTCTTGGACACATTTTTCAAACTCATCTGTTTGGATAACTTGACAGCACCTCCCTTGTTTTTTTTATCATCTCTTCCACTTTTTCAAAGCACTGTCCTTTCATGTCCCTCTTCATTCATGGAAACAAAAAGAAATTGCAAGGATTGAGGTCAGGTGAGTAACGTGTGTGGGGCAAGAGACATGCTCGGTTGTTTTGTTTTGTTTTTTTGCCAAAAACTGGCGCACTCAGATGGCTGCGTGAGCAGGTGCATTGTCTTGGTGGCAAAGCCAGTCCCCCATCTGCCACAAATCAGGCCTTTTTTTGTTGCACACTGTTACGCTATCTTTCCAGAACTTCTAAATAGAAAATTTGATTAACAGTCTGACCTGGTGGAATGGACTCCAAATACACTACAAGTCGACATTTTCATCTGTTGGGGAAGTTGACAGATGTCCAGAACGAGGTTTGTCATCAATCAACAATATTTCACCTGTTTTGAAACGAGAGAACCACTTGTGCTTCAGTTTTTCCCATAGCATTGTCCTTGTAACCTGTGTTCAACATCACAACAGTTTCTGCAGCATTTTTCCTGAGCAGGAAACAAAATTTCAAAGCTGCACCTTGTTCTTTTAAATCGGCCATCACAAAAAGTGAAGTTCAAGCGAAACTGCTTTTAAGAAAAAACTCACTGTGACCAGAGAGAACCTTCCCAGACCACCCCACTGGGTGTACTCACTCAGAGCAAGTTGCTCAAGTGAGGAAAATGGGTACTACAAAAGCTCCACTCTGTTCAGTGCAATTCTGCTTTGGGGGGAGTCCCCCCTTGTATGTGTGAGTCAGTATAAACATCTAAGTATTTTGGGAAGTTCTTTTTTCCTTAATGCTAACACAGTCAGGAGTCTTGTCCCACTGCCACCCCCACCCCCACCCCTATACCAGTGTCATTTCATGGTCGCTTTTTCTCAGCCAGCTGCACTAGCTTCCCTTTGGTTCTTCGTGCAAGATAGGAAGTCTTACAGACCTGCCCAAGGACTTTCCCACACGATGTTCCCTCTGCTTGACATTCTAATCGGTGCTCCTTCCCTAGCCAGATCTCGGCCATTGCATCCTTTAAATCTCCCGCTGCAAGTCAGTAGTGTGTTGGGATTTTAAATTTTATCAGCATATCATTTAAATATGATACAATTCAATAGTTCAGTCAAATCAAGAAGAGTTGTACAGTCATCACTGCAGTCAGTTTTAGAACATTTTCCTCATTCTTGTACTCATTGTTATAAGCTCTCCATTGCCCCCAACCTTCCCTGTCATATACTCCCAAGGAACCATTAATTCAGTTAGTGACTTTATCAACTTGCCTATCCTGGATTTCAGATACAGAAAAACATTAAAAAAAAAAAAAAAAAACAAGATAAAATGGGAAAACCCTCAAAACGAAAGCAGAACATATTAAAAACTCGAACAAACTTAAAATGGATCAAAAGGGAGATCCAATGATAAAGTGTTACATTTTAACCTAACTACCTCTGCCATAATGCGCTTTCCAGTGCACTCTGCATGACAGCAAGGCTATTCCCATCCCTGGTCAGGGTCAGAGGGGAGTCAACAGAGGATGGATGCACGTGTTTCTCCCCACTCCCCCCACTTTTTTTAAGCTGAAACAACTTTAAAATGACCCAAAAGGGAGATCAAATGATAGATTACGTAGCATGTTAATCAGAACATTACTGAAGATTGTCACATGAGCCTAGTCACAAACTTCATTTTATAGAATCATTTCTAATGCTTCAAATGATAATTTGTGAATTTTTATTAGAATTATATGAAGCTAAGAATTAGTAATTCCACAACCTATTTGTCATTTTCTTTTAGTGTGATTGGCACATTTACTCAAAAACTATTAAAAAAACAAACAAACCCAAAGCAGTTCTCAGATCTCAACCACTTTCATCTCTACCTTTAAACCTGAGACTAGAGGAGAGTACCTTTACCTTTTTACTCTGTCCTTCAAATTTGATAAATTGTTAAGTGAGTTGAAAAGCACAAGTTGAAAAGGGTAAAGGAAAGCCAAAAGTTCATAAGCAAATTTGTTCTCTCAAAAGGTGGTAACCTTTCTATTCTTTTTAGCCACGTGATCTGATACCGAATGCCCACTACCTCTTACTGCAGGGCTGGAGGAATCCCAACAGTTGAGGCTGTTAGAAAATAAGTGCAGTGCTTGTTGAACTTGGGGCATCTGGTTTCTAAGTTCCGAAACTGACCATAAGAGAGGGGAAAGAATAATCCACACTGCGCTTTTTCTGTCCCCAGCCAGCCCTGTTTGTAAATACGGTCTGACATTTTAGGCAGTTTGATTTGTTTTGAATTCAAACAAACACTGGCCCAGATGACTTTCTTTTGATCGAGTTTACTCTCTCCCAATAGAAAAGTCTGCCGTGTAAGAGTAGTCTGGGCAGATCCTTAACATGTGTCCTTGCTTTGATCATTTCAAGTGAATCGCTAGCATTTGCTACTGTCGTTTCTGAGGACCGAGCACCCAGTGGCATTTAGCAGTTTGTGGACTACTACTTGGATGTTTGGTTTGCTTAAAGTCTTTGTTTCACTATTTTTGTTTTCTTCTCTAGCTTTTGGAGGTGAGAAGTGGAAAACAAACGTCTTATTAACATCATTTCTTTGTCCTGGGTAAGTAAATATACAATAAATGCTTGCTATTATAGTCATAATTTAGTGCCCACATTGTTTGTGTCTTAAATCCTTAATTCTCTGTCTCTGAACCAGAGATTTAATTTTGTAAAAGGATGTGAAAAGTAGATAGTAAGTACTTGTTGAATGACTACTGCACACATTATCTGAGAAAAGCACCTTTTAGACTTGAGAATTTTTATATTCTCTTTTTTTTAAAGTCTTAGTTTTTCTTAGTCTTTAGTAATCAGACATACCTGTTGTCATGTAAGACTGCATTTAAAGCTTTTGACTTAAACACAGAAAAACTTCATCTGAAATTAGTTCAGGCAAACATAAATTTTTTGAGTTTTATCAAAAGTATTATTATCTGTTTGAGTCCCTTTTAAGTAGAGGAACATATACTGAAAACAAAAAATAAACAATTACCACCCAAAAGCCCTTTCCTCTCTAAAGGACAATTTCTGATATCAAACATCTCCTGCTTCTACTTCTAGACATATAACCCAATTTCTCTTCAACCCCCAAATTTCTGGTGGTTAAGAACTAGCCCTTGAACAATCAACAGTGCTAAAGAAAGCCCAAGTTGTACACTCTGCAGGTCAGAAGTGAAAGAGCTTTCTGGCCACAAATGACTGATAAGAGCCAGCTTTTTCAGGCAAGTTTAGCGTCAGCACTCAAATTATTACTTCCATTGAAGATGCACGCACCTCTCAGCCCTTCCAGCACGATTCCCGATTATGCTTGTCTCAAGCCACATCTTCTGTTGTCATTCCTCTGCTGTAGATTCAAGGAGGCTGTTCACCAAGACTGTCTTTTATAAGCTTGCCTTTTAAGCATTCTTTCCCGTATCTGACGTCCTTGGTTTCTCCCTTTCTGTGGGTTCTGTTTCTACATTTAATCTTATTCCTACAAATATGACTGTTGCTGGGTGCTGTCAAGTCAGTTCTGACAGAGTGACCCCGTGACGAAAACAGCACCACCCAGGCTCTCGTGGAGTAGAATTGCTCCATAGGGTTTCTGTGGCTGTAATCTTTACAGGGGCCTCACCACGTCTGTCTACCCCAGTGGATGTCTTGAGAAGAAATAGTCTATAGTCTGTTATTCTCACTTTCTCTACATAGAACCAAACTCTCTGCCATGGAGTCAGTGCCAGTTCACAGCAACTGTATATGACAGGGAGAACTGCCCTTTGGAGTTTCAGGACGGCAGCTGTCTACTGGAGTGGAAAGTCCCATCTTTCTCATGAGGAGAGCCTGGTGGTTTCCAGCTGCTGACCCTGAAGATTGCAGCCCCACATATAACCCTATGCATTCTCAACATAGTTATAGTGTAAATCTAGCCTTTGCCTCCTGCCATTTTCAAATCTGGAAACCATTTTTTGGCCTTTCCCCTCTACCTCTTTTCATTCCCTAACATTGGAATGCTTCTTCAAACTTTTTTTTGCTTTATAGGAATTTTTGCTGGTTCTTTTATATTTCTAATCCACGTTGTCTGATTTATCTTCTTTATACCCTGCCCCTTAAAAGTAGTTATTTATGTCAGGGAAGGTAAGTAGAGGGAAAGAAAGCACGATCTAAGAATCTAAGTATACTGTGAGCACAGAGGAATTGGTGAGCTCCTAGGAATAGAAGAAAACATTTTGGATAGGAAACCTCTCCTTATAGTTTTAGGTCAGTCCTCATCTGCACATAAGGAGCTCTGAGGGTGCTATGGGATAAGTGAGGTCAGCAGCTCAAACCATCGCCACTCCAGGAGAGAACGATAAGGTGGTCTGCTCACACAGAGATTTACAGTCTCCGAAACACTATGTAAGGCGCCATGAGTCAGCATTGACTGGAGGACAGTGGGGTTGGATTTTCTTAAATACCTGCATGTAATTATGGCAATCAATGCAACACAATGGCTTTTACTAGTATAAAACAAATTCCAGGTTTGGGTGGGTGTTTTTTTTTCTTTCTGTTTTTGGGTTCTTTTACATAAAATTTTAGCTTTTTTACAAAATGACAATGGAGCTTTCAAAACATAATGGAATGAAAAGATGATGGAATTTTCACAGAAACTTTTTTAAAAAATCATTTTATTGGGGGCTCGTACAATTCTTATCACCATCCAAACATACATCCATTGTGTCAAGCACATTTGTACATTTGTTGCCATCATCATTCTCAAAACATTTGCTTTCTACTTGAGCCCTTGATATCAGCTCCTCATTTTCCCCCCTACCTCCCCGTTTCCCCCTTGTTCATGAACCCTTGATAATTTAAAAATTATTATTATTTTGTCATCTTACACTGTCCGGCATTTCCCTTCACCCACTCTTCTGTTGTCCATCCCCCAGGGAGGAGGTTATATGTAGATCCTTGTAATTGGTTCCCGCATTCTACCCCACCTTCCCTCCACCCTCCCAGTATCGCCACTTAGCACTGGTCCTGAAGGGATCATCTGTCCTGGATTCCCTTTGTTTCTGGTTGCTATCTGTACCAGTGTACATCCTCTGGTCTAGCCAGATTTGTAAGGTAGAATTGGGATCATGACAGTGGGGGGCAGGAAGCATTTAAGAGCTAGAGGAAAGTTGTATGTTTCATGGTTGCTACACTGCACCCTGACTGGCTCGTCTCCTCCCCGCGACCATTCTGTAAGGGGGTGTCCAGTTGCCTACAGATGGGCCTTGGGTCTCCACTCTGCACTCACCCTCATCCACAGTGATATGATTTTTTGTTCTTTGATACCCGACACCTGATTCCTTCCACACCCCGTGGTCACACAGGCTGGCGTGCTTCCTCCATGTGGGCTCTGGTGCCTCTGAGCTAGATGGCCCGTGTTTAACTTCAAGCCTTTAAGACCCCAGATGCCACATCCCAGAAACTTTGTAAAGTCCTCCTGGAATGTTTCAAATAGGCAAACATCAAATTATTATTTATAGGAAACATGATTTGCGTATGCAAAATGTCCAGAGAATTTTAACTTTAAAGCTTAATTTTAAGAATAGAGTTTGTCAGAATGATCGGATATCAGCTAAATATTCCAAGATCCTGAACACTAGTAATGAATTAAATGTTTGAGTAGTGGTTTTGGTGATGGGGAGAGGAGCAACAGTATTAGCACGAGAAAAATTATACAGTATCTGAAATAACCTCAAAAATGTAGCTCTATATGAAAAGTCTGTGGAGCTTATTGATTAGTAAGAGATGCTAATTCACCATATTAACTTGCCGTAAGACAACTGAATATTGTAAAGGGGTTCGCAGATGTGTGGTGGCTGCCACATGTAGAACACGAACCAGACCGTGTGTACGTGGAGACTGACGAGATGTCCCAGCACAAAGCACAGCAACTGTTTAGCTATGCTGAGACAGTTGAATGTGTTTACAAAGAGACAGTGAGGGTGGGAGGAAGGCAGGAAGCAGGCTTTTCTCTACTAGATCATTTGGCATTTTCTTTCGGGTTTTATTATTAATGACATATAATTGTTACTGTATCATTTTGCTCCTTTCCCTGGTTTTACTCAAAACCCTATTTTGTCTTCCAGGATTGTGTTTGCTGACTTCTTCATAATGAACCTGATTCTCTGGGGAGAAGGGTCTTCAGCAGCTATTCCTTTTGGAACATTGGTTGCCATTTTGGGTCTTTGGTTCTGCATATCGGTGCCTCTAACATTTATTGGTGCATATTTTGGTTTTAAGAAGAATGTAAGTTTATAGGTGTTAATTTCTTCCAATAAATATCAGCTTAAAAATATCACAGAAGTGCCCAAAAGATAGAAACTTACCCTGTAGAGTCTGGATTTCATAGAAAATTGATCTCTGTTTTGATAGTAATCATTCTGAAAATAGTTTTTAGGGTGTGGTGGAGAGGTTACAAATGTAAACTTAGATTTCAAAGTTATTTAAATAAATGAAACTAATACAAGTTAATTGGAAATAATTACTGAAATAAACTAAAACTTTGAAGTTTTGACAGTGAAACAAATTATTACTTTTTAAAAAAATCTCCATTCATACAGTTTTTCTTAACAGTAATACATGTGTTTCAAATGTGACTATTTTAAGGAAGATTATAATCAGTCTGTCTCCAATATGCTGCCCCCTTCTAGCCTCAGCCTAGGGAGAAGATGAGAATTTACTTTCTATTTCAGTAGTATCTTTCTCCTACTCCACTGTCTTTGACTCTTGTGAAAATATCCCATCCACGGGTTAAAAGAAGTACCATCGTGTAGTAGACTAGGAGAGAGGCACATGGAATGCCTGGCAGAAATGATCATTGCTGCTTAGTCTCTATTGCTCCTAGCACACCAAACTGCAAAAGTAGTTTTCCAGTTCTCTGAGAGTTTGCTTAATGTATGATTTTAAATATAAGTAATCATCAATAGTAAACTGACAGTTTTCATTTTTTAGAATTATATATTAAGTATAAATACTCAAAATTTCAAATATTTGCTTGTTGAAAACATGAAAAATGATACCATTATTCTTTGCCTATGGGCATACATGCCTAGATCGAAAAGAGTCCAGCCCAAGGCAGTATGATTTCAATGAAAATAACAAATTTTAATTGGGGTTTATCATCACAAATTATGTTGTGTTTTTTAAGCTCATATTAGGAAATTAATTTCTATATCCATACATTTTTCTTTGTTTAACTACTTTAATCCTATACCCCTTACTATCTCCATCCCCCCTAAAAGCCGCTGCCATCGAGCCTGTTCTGACTCACGATGACCCTGAATGTTAGAGTAGAAAGGCCTGCTGTGGCACGCGTCTCACAGAAGCAGATCACTGACCTTTCGTCTCCTGACACTGGATGAAACGTTTAGATTAATAGATGAGTGCCCACAGTCTGTACCATCCACGAACATTGGATTCTCGTTGTTTTTATATTGCAATATGGTTTGTTGGAGTCCTGGGTATGGCAGTTAAAGTGTTCAGCTGCTGAGCGGAAGTTAGAGGTTCAAGTCCACCCACAGGCACCTCGGGAGAAAGGCCTGGCGGTCCACTGCCAAAACCCAACCACAGAAAAGACTGTGGAGCGCAGTGGACGTCTGACACATGGGGTCTCCGTGAGTCTGCGTGAGCTCAACTCCTGATTCTATGTAGTGTTACAAGGGAGACTACTTCAGAACATCACAGTACCTTATGGTCATAAAGCTTTCTATAGACATTCTCTGCCTTCTTAAAGTTTTTGTATCCGTAATTTGAGCAATTTTAATAAAGATAATAGCTATCACCAAATAAAAGTACATTGACAAATTTCAGGGTCAGCTGCTTTCTCACTGTAAGTATATAATTAAAAAGAAAACCCCAACTCTACCTTTGTACTAACTATTATTTTCCAAGGACTGTGTTCTCCTTTCTGTATTTCTTTCCTTGTATAAAGCCATTAGCCAGTGGGTAACTGCAGGGAATAGCGATGACTTGTTCCAGGAGACAGGCTGAATTACTGTACTTGATGGCAGTCAGTTTCATTGCTTCTAAATACAAATTTCAGTTTGATGACTTAAGTAGGCTGTTATTACCATTAGTGTCAGGTTGGAAGCTGAGAAAAAGCAGGCAAAAATAGTCTAATGCAGAGAACTTTTAAAAATAGCTAAATATGAATTCTTTTTTATTTTCCTTCGCTTTAGGCCATTGAACACCCAGTTCGAACCAATCAGATTCCACGTCAAATTCCTGAGCAGTCATTCTACACAAAGCCATTGCCTGGTATTATCATGGGAGGGATCTTGCCATTTGGGTGCATCTTTATACAACTTTTCTTCATTCTGAATAGTATTTGGTAAGCCAGAGGCAATATCCCCTTCCACTGCCATTGCATATAATACTATCTTTTTCCTTTGGTTTTTACAAATTGCTTTTTACATTTGACAATGTAACTCAACTTTATAAAATAACTCAAGATTATTTTACTTTTTCCAAGGGGGGAACGTGGGTAGGGGAGAGAGAATAATACTGGTAACCATTCTAAATTGAGGAGGGAGGGTGAGAGAGAGAAAAGAAAGCAGTAGACAAGACAGTGATGGATGTTAACTTGGGTGAAGAGGAAGATGGTGGTCCACAGAATAAGAGAGATCAAAGAGCGGGGGGAGGGTATTGGGGTGTTTGATTAGTAGTTTAAACTATTGAATACCAAGTTGATCTGAAATGTAAACCCCCACCCAATTTACAATTAATAAATATAAATTGTGAAGATTGTTACTTACTTAATTCTTATTCATTCTTAATTCTTATAGTTCAGTTCTCAGAACTTTCCCCATTTTACAGAGATGGAAATGAGGCTTTGAGGTTAATTTACCATTTAGCCCTAGGTTATCCAAACCAATACTCATAAAAATCACACAGTACCACTTCCAAGAGGTGAGACTGAGTGGCCGGTAGAGGTGGTTTGAGACAGCATTGGAGACAGGCCGGAGCATCTTCAGTGGCCTTCCCAATCCTAAGATTTTTTCTTTCTGTGATTTTTGTTGTTGTTTGCAAGGGGAAACTTGTAGTGGCTATTTTTAGCGGCTCGTTAAAGTTGCTGAGTCCGTATTGACTTGGTGGCAGTGAGCCTGGTTTTTTTGGTGGTTTGAGTGTATATTTTGTGATATATTTTGATCATTATTTGATCATATTAACATAAGCTACAGAAAGTAATGGGTAGCATAAAATTATAACTACCTAGATTTGAAGGTTTTAGTGATTAGAACCTAACTTTTACTCCAGGTTATTAGAGTAATTTTTCAAACTTGATGATTTTTATCACATATAGTTAACCCCGTGTGTCAAAGTAACCCTTTGTTAACTTTTCTCATGTGTGTCTACATGACTAGTAGACCAGTCAGCTAAGCATATTTCTGAAGATCCAGGTGTCTGCAGAAGGAAGATAAATTAATCCAGTGGTGTAGTGCCGCATCCTTTCTCCCCCGACTCGACTCCCAACCTGTATCACCACCTATATCTATTAGGATTTGTCTGGTTTGATTTGTGGGGAGGAAAAATGAGAAGAGCTTATCATTTACTGTGTCAAAAGAAAATATAGTTTTATCAAAATGTCCATTTGTTTATAGGTCTCATCAGATGTACTACATGTTTGGCTTCCTATTTCTGGTGTTCATCATTTTGGTCATTACATGTTCTGAAGCAACTATACTTCTTTGCTATTTCCATCTATGTGCAGAGGTATGTATTAGCAATGTTTTTATTACTTGCATATTTTTGTATCTTTGTTAATAATTTTAGCATATAGTACATGTTAATTGAAATTATTTGTTTATCTTGATCGAAATTGACCTGTATGGCTAAGTCAAATGTAGTCTGCTGTAAATTGAGTACCTAATTCAGTATATTCATTTAGAGCTTATTATTAGAGGGCTTTAAATGTTAATTTCCGAAGAATCGTACTTTATAAAGTTGTGCTGAGTGTTCATTGAATTTTTTAAATGCCTTAAAAATTAATACTGGTTTTATAATAAAAATATTTCTAGACTCAGAATGTAAAAAAAATTGATGTTAGATGTGGGAGGAAACCGTTAAAAGTTTCATTGATTACATTATAATGAATTATATTCATGCCATTATGACAAATGATGACATCCCTATGTAATAAGTAGAATTGAATTTTAAATGTTAGCTTGTCTTAAATTCATTCTTTTGTAGTTAGGATTTTCTATATAGGAGATGATACTGAAGTTTATTAAACTTGCTATACTTTTATTTATCTTTTTTTAATGGCAAGGATAAAATAATAATTATGTGAAGATATAAATACAAATAATGAGTAAGAAAGAAAAGACCACCATCAAAATTTAAACAGCCAGGGAAGAAATTTTTGCATGGAACAATCAAGAAATTCTTGAGCCTAGAACAAATTCAAGTTGGGTCAAGAGGAGGTCAACTGACCAAGTATTAAATTCGATCTAGCATAATTAAGCTTATAATAATCTCTGTCTCATAGTAAAGCTGCTTCAAGTCCCTTGCCAGTGGCTAGAAGGTGTCTGCCAGAGATTTAATCTGACAAGATACTCTGCAGATGGGTTTGGGCTCCACTGTCCTCCATAGCCTTCTATAAATTAGGTGTTTACTGTTGGAGCTGTGGTACTTTCCCTTTTGTCATATTTGGGTTCTGTTATTGTCATCTTTGGATCACATAAGCTTCCATGTAGACTTAGTTGACTCCTCACTTAGACTGCTGCTTCTTTGAATATAAGCTTTTAAGACCCCAGACACTTCCAATATATAGCCGGGCACCATTCTGCTTTCTTCACCATACTTTTCTATAGCACCCTTGTCTTCAATGATCATTTCATGAAGGTGAGTATTGAGCAGGACCATGTTAGCAGATATAATTGTTCTTGGATTGGGAGCACAGACTCCACCCACTTGTCCATGGGTGATCTCTGACTGGTTTACTTTGGCACTTGTATTATGACAAAAACAGAACCCCTTAAGACCAAGAACAGTAACAACCAAGCAACCAACGAAAGGCAGAAAACCAAAAAAGAAAACCATTGTCATTCATCTTCCTGGGGTATAAGGCGATTACACTGATAACATCAACAAATGTTCAGTGACACAGCACTCCAGACACTGTTGGTATAGGGAGTCTATGCAAGTAGAGCCCCACCAGGAGCCGCACCCCAGGAGTGTTGCCCGGCACAGTTCGGTCTCCCAATCGATTGGGATCTGTTTACCCTGAGCAGATCACTTTTCACAAGTGCAGATCTCTGCCCAACAGATAAAACCTGTCATAGCAATGCAAGGGGCCGCTTTTAATTTGTAGTGAAGGTGAAATTTACACAGATAAAGTGAACCATTTTAAACGGCAGGTCAGAGACATTTCATAGCATTCACAATCTTTTACAACCACCACCTCTGTCTAATTTCAACATGTTTTCATTACCCCTAAATAAAATTCCATACCCATTAAGCAGTATTTCTCATTCTCCTCACGTCCCAGCTCCTGGCATTCCCAGTCTGCTTTTTGTGTCTATGGATTTACCCATTCCCAACATTTCATAAAAATGAAATCATATAATATGGGACCTTTTGTGTCTCAGGTCTCATGTAACAATGTTTTTGAGGTTCGGCCACATTGTAGTTTATATCAGTACTTTACTTTATGGTGGACTAAAGTTCCATTCTTTGTCTACACCACAATTTCTTATCTAGTTATTGGTTAATAGACATTTGGGTTCTGGGCTCAGGCATAAGGATGATTGTGAAGCTGCCCCCAGGACCATGCTTGTTTCATTCTGTTGTGCGTAGGGTCGCCGTTAGCAGGAACAGACTTGATCGCATCTAACAACAGCAACCTTCTGACTACTGGGAACAATGCTGTTGCCTTTTTTTTTTATAGCGCTTTATTGACATATAATCCACATACCATCCAATTCAGTGTTTCAGACATATTAAAAGAAGTATATATGTTTTTCATTCTTCTACACATTATTTTTATTTCCTCATTAAACCCCCAACCTCTGCCATAGCCCTAAAGAAATGTTAATGTAGTTGCTGTCTATAGATTTATGTATTCTGAATTTCATTATAAAGAAAGTAATTTTTTTTAAAAAGGCAGTGAAAACAAAACAGGAAAAAAATCCATGTGGAAGTAGAAGATAATAAAATTAGAATAAGTGAAAAATTGGTCAAAGGGGAAAACAAATTATAATACCGTATATACTCATGTATAAGCTGAGTTTTTCAGCACATTTGTTATGCAGTTTTTGTGGTAAAATTAGGTGCCTCGGCTGATATTCGTGCCAGCTTATACTCGAGTGTATACGGTATATTAAATTTTACCTATGTGTTCAGTAATCCTCTTTCCAGTATACTCTGGGGTCAAGACTACACTTCCTTAGTCAGTGGTCTCATGGAAGTCAGTGGAAGCTTAATCCATGTGGGAACTCTGAAAATGGATTTGGGGCTTTCACTGTATTGTCATCCATAGTTTTCTGCAAACCAGGTTCTCAGAACTTAAGCTCTAATACAGTTCCCTCCTCCGATCTTGAATTTTGTTATTTACAGCCCTTAGATCACGTGGGCTAGTGTTGTCCTTCCTTTTCAATTCAGCTGACGCCTCTCTTAGATGCCTGCTATCTTAAGACAATCCTTTAAGAGCCCAGATGATAGCCGGGCACCATCTGATTTCTTCACTGAACTATGCTGTAGCGCTCATATCTTCAGTGATCAGTTCATGAGGACAAGAATTGAGCAGGGCTACATCCTAAGAATTAAACAGTCAAACCATTTTACATGCCAGCCAGACATGTCCAAAGGCTCAACACCCTGGTTTGATTATGGTCATCTTAACCATTGTGATATAGTATCTCAACAGCAGTCCTACAGGACAGGGTAGAACTGCACCTGTGGGCTTCTGAGACGGTAAATCTTTATGAAATAGAACGAACACCTCGTTGTTCTCCTGTCAGCAGCTGGTGGTTTCAAACTGCTGACCTCGCAGTTAGCAGCCTAGCACGTAACCGCTGTGTAACCAGTTCTCGGTTTTACTTGTGCACTTTGAGTTGGTTTGACACTCTGACACCTAACAAGCAACTCTGACAAGAATTTTTTAAAGCATTCTTTGGGTTTTTCTAAACTGAAAATGTTTTTAAATCATGTATGACAAAGGGTTGAAAAGATAGTGACTTTCTTTTAAAGGATCGACTGAACTATAAACCATTTTACATAAAAGCAATAAGCAGTTTTAATAACCTTTATAATAACAGAGCTGACCAGACTATAAGATAGGTTAATATTAATTTTTAGCCACATAAGTAGGCAAGCTGTAGATTCCTTTCTGGAAAGCATAAATTTTTAAATACAAGGCTAAATCAAAAAGTATTAATAGGATTTCAGTTCATCCGTGCCCAGATTTATTCCAAACAGATCATCTGAACACATCTCTGTGGTCAGTTGCGGACACACGTTCTCACAGTACTATACACTAATCTTCAAAATAAAAATCTAATCAAAACTATGACTTTTGAGGGGATCTGGTAGGCCAGTTTACTTCAAGAGAGATCAGGTCAGAGGGCTATGGCACCTGATTTTGAGATTCCTATGGGGGCTTATTGTGAGGCAGTTGTAAGAAGGTAGAAACTACACTGGTAAGTAAAAGGCCAGGAAATACACCAGGAATTTTTTCCATCGTAGCAGCACTTGTTCAGTCTTTGAGGGTAGCAAGGACTGTCGTAGAAGAATGTCCTAGGGAAGCCATACTTCATCCACCCAAGCCATTAATCTTGCCCTTTCAGACTTCTTTTTCAAAGCACATGGAAAAGTAATGAGATTTAAGTCCCTTGAGGTTGCCAAAAACTGCCATTTGACATGGTGTAAATCGAAGAGCTTAGGATTCTTGAAGGAATAGTTACAGAGATGGAAACACCGCCTTCAGAAGTATATAAGCTGAGGCGGGGAGAGTTTGTTGAGACATAAATAGCTTCATATTCTGGAATTTTTGTTTAATACAGGTTTCTATGATTTTGTAGCAATACTGTTTTACTTAGGCTCTTACAGCCTAATGCCATATTGTTCATAAACTTTAATATTTTTCTAGATTTTTAGCCAGTCTTTGAATATTTTCACCAAAGGTGCTTTTTAGTACTTTTAGTGAAGAGGGAAATAGGTAAAGTTCAAATAGGAGAAAGCGCTTGGAGCTTAGCAAAAATTAGGTTTTGGGGGCTATCTTAAGTATGTATATTTGCTTTGTATCTTTAATCTGTTAAGTGCTATCTATGGGAAAATTGTTTTTCTTTAACTTTTTTTCTTTTCTACCTAGGATTATCATTGGCAGTGGCGTTCATTCCTCACCAGTGGTTTTACTGCTGTTTACTTCTTAATATATTCAGTACACTACTTCTTTTCAAAACTACAAATCACAGGAACAGCAAGTACAATTCTGTACTTTGGTTATACCATGATAATGGTTTTGATCTTCTTTCTTTTTACAGGTAAGAATTGAAATAATGATTATTAGTTCAGTTTTTAGGCAAATAACTTAACAATGATTTTTCTTTTATAAGAGCCATGAAGGTTTTCACTTCTCATTGTTCCTTTATTTAGTCTTCAGTACAGTGCAGCATGTGTTTGGTTCAGCCCACCTGTGAGTTGAGTATTGTTAACTGAAAGTGATGGAGCAGAATCTGAAGGGGGAAAGCTAGACAGTGTTCATTTCTGTGCTCAAAGCATAGGCCTCCTTGACGAATAAAGCTCAAGGTTCACCTGTGTTAACATCTTCCCGATATACAGTCTCCCGCCCTCCCATTTCAGAAATAGGGTAAAAAACTATAACTACCTGAGTTTAGGAGTGGAGATTAGAGAAGCAAAGCCAAGATGAGATTGGAAACTATCACAAGATAACAATAGGGATTACATATTCTGAAAGTTTTAAATAGACGCATTAATCTCCACTGTAAAATCCAAGTATCTCCTGGGACATAGCATGTATTGCATTGATGTTTATTTTATGTACATCTTCTCCATCAAACTAGATTAAAAACTTTGTACGTCAGAGCCCTAGTGATGCTTGATAAATAATTGTGGAGTGAGTAACTGTACGAAAGTAAGAAAACAAACTTTTCTTTGGTCACAAAAAGTAGTTTGCATTAAAGGTACATCTGAAGTTTCCTCTAAAATTGCTTTGCATGCTAGGTGAGAAAAGGGAAAGACCTTTTTTTTTTAAAAGACCTGTCCTACTTTTTACTTGTCTGTCAGTGTTTAAGAATATCAGGAGAGTTTTGATGTGCTGCTGCTGCCATCTCAGTGCGTGGCTGGCTCTGGGCACGTGTATCTAGTCTGTATTCCAGGTCATTGGTGAGACCTGGTCTCATGTGTATCTTGGTGTGGTATGATAGATTTTTTTTTTCTATTTGTGATGATAGAATAATTTGACTCCACAGCCTTAAATGATTTGTAAAATAGCAGAGGCCTGTGAAACAAGAATTACCTACTGTCTTTTTGCATCTGTATTTGTGGGTCCATAAATACATATTTAGAATAATATATTCCACGCCTTTATACACAAAAAAGTAAAGGCCGTGATGTCATTTTATTTGTCGATCCATTTTAGAAAACAAGATTATCCTGTCATTAAGGAAAGATGCTGGTTTTAGTGTGGAAATACTAGTTTAGAACCAAACGTCCCATACAAGACTGAACTGAAGCACTTGACTTTCTTAGGGGTTTCCAGGATGGTGATGAAATGTTTTGTTCATCTTTAGAAAATTGTTCTCATCATCTTAAAACTCTCAAATTCTTACTAAGCACAAGCTTGTTTATGTTCCCACTGTTGGGTTGTCCAGTCCGCAGTAAACCTGTAGAATATCCAAAATGTGTATCTGTCTATGTGTTCTCAAAGAAACACAGTGCCCTCTACGTTGTGTAGGTGTTCAGTGCATATACAACGTGCGAATGAGTAGCTTTCATAGCGGGGTTCATAACTTCCTATAGTCATATCCCATGTCTAATCTCTTGAGTTAGAAAATCTCTCTTAGTACTTTTCTGTATATGTTACATTTAAAACAGTTGTGAAAATTGTGTGACTTTAAGTATAAAATGTACACAGGATATACTTTTTGATCTTATGTGTTCTATATTCCCACTTACTGAATACTTTCCAGAAGATAGTCATAGGAAAAAACGATATACCTTAGTTTATTTTTTAATCGATTAAATTATTTTATAATTTGCATATATCATTTGGAAAACAGTCTTTAAATAGGTGTTTGATAACCCTGAATGTAGCGTCATACAGTATAGTATACTTATAGTATAGTTTAAAAGAGTCCTATACTTGAAGTAGTGAAAAATGAACTTGAGTTCTGGGCAAGTCATTGACCAGCCTCTTGACCATGAGCCAGCAACATTAAAAGGGTGTCCCATCTAGCATTACAGTTCCTTGGAATTCAGACTGGTGAAGTTACCAGACACTCAAGGCATACTTGTTTTCCTGTGTTATCTCATTTCCTCCAGAAGGCAGTCTTGGGGTGGCCAGGGCAGATCCGTGTTTCTCTGTCTAACAAGATGAAGCAGTGGCGTGGAAGTGGCAGGGCTGACCCTGTAGTCAAGTGCTGATTGCTGTCCTCCCTGGCACTCAGCTTGGGCTGTGGAGCATCTTTGCCACTAGGCAATCCCTAGGACAGAACTCAGCCTTGTGTGCAAAATGTTTAATGTTAATGTCTTGAAAACTATAAACTCGTAGTAACTATACTTAAAATAACCAATTGAATGGTTTTTGTTTTTTTTCCTTTATAGGAACAATTGGCTTCTTTGCATGCTTTTGGTTTGTTACCAAAATATACAGTGTGGTGAAAGTAGACTGAAGCAGCCCAGTGTGACCAGTTAAAACAGAAATAAATTAAATTCTTCATCTACAAAGACCTGTTTTGTGACTCCCTTGAGTTTCCTCAGACTTATTGGCCTAGTATTTCATCAGAAGCAACATAATGCTAAATACACCTCTACCCATACACCCTGTTTCCACAAGATGTTTTCAGCACTAAAACATTTGTATTGTGATTTGATTAAGTATATTTTCAGTTCTCAATGAAGAGTAAATTTAAACACTATGTGCATTTATAAATAAGATAGCTTAAGAGATTTTCAGTACTTCTAATGGCAGAACATAGGAGGCCATATTGAACAATACTGATGAAATGCAGGACAGTTGATTGTAAATAGAATTTTCTAGGCTCGGTAGGTGGAAAGAATTATTTTTCTTTAAAGGAAATAACTTTTTATCATGGTAATTTTGAAGGATGATTCCTATGATATGCTCATTGGGGAATGCAGCTTTTAAAAACAAAAATCTTGTAATGTTGAAACTGTTCATACCTTTTCCTTTTCTGTGTTGACTTCATTATTCCCATGGTTTGGCCTTTTAAACTATGTGCCTCTGAGTCTTTCAATTTATAAATTTGTTATCTTAATAAATATTGTAAAAACATCTTCATTGCATCATTGTTATATATTTAAGGAGATTCTGTAAATACAAATCTATTTCCCAGGGTTGTTGAAAATGATTTATACTGCTTTATCAGATTTTGTTGGATCTTCTCAATGTAACACTTTCTGAGTTTTGGTCTAAGTGAAATTTCAGTCTTCTGAGCTTTATGACAATTCTAACATTTTCATTGTTAGGCAGCAACGGAAACTTTAGCCACGCAGATCTGGCCAGATGATGATGTAAGCTTCATAGTTAATGTAGACCTCCTAACTGTGTTGGCATTAAGGATTTTATATTTTCTCTTTTTTTGGAATAAAAAATTTTTAAATCAGTTCTTTATGATCTAGACATTATATAAACTAGTAAGCCTTCATCTCTCCCTTATAACTATTGTTGTATTGTCTTAATTTGGATTTCAGGATATCCTGTGAATTTTACAGTTTTACTTACTAGAGTTAAGCAATACATATTTCTGTTTCACATTTATTTAATAAATTGAGATTAAATTATGTGGAATATAGAAATGTGGGACAATTCCAGCAATACTTATAATTGTGAAAATAGTCATTTGTACTTGAGGAGCTAAATGCTTGCTGCTTATGAAAGCAAATCAGATTCTGTCATTAAACTTGCAACTAAAATTACTGACTGTTGTGTATATGATGTTGCTGGGTTCTTACTCAATAATTTTACATTAGCATTGTTTTTAAATAAATCTGGCCAACATATTTAAATAGTGAAACCATAAGAATATTTTGTAAGGACTCTTAGCTATTGTTAACCTCCCATGTAGAGGGTTTAAGATAGAAAAATTCCTTTTAAATGTATTTCCTGTCTGTTAGCGTGTGTTTAGTTTTTGTATAGTGTATTTGTCCTTTCAGATGTAATTCATTTAAGGTACTAAACAAACAAAAGGTTTTATAAAAAGTTGTAATTGAGATACCAGCTTCATTTTTTTGGTCAAAGTTAAGTTTCTTCCATTTTACTTTTCCTCAGTGAAAATTAAGTCAAACATTAAGCTGAAACAGTCAAATTTACTGGTTTGATCTAACCCTCATGTGTTTGGGGTTTTTTTCCCCTCTGTACTTTAATTCTACTTCACAAATAATGAGAGAGGCAATTAAGAAACAAAATATTAAAGGAAAAGAGGAGCGAGGAAAGATGATACAAAAGGAAACATTCAAAAGAAGGCAAGCCAATTGATTCGAGAAGGGACCTTGGACAAAATTAGTCTCCTTTTTCAGTGACGTTGATAGAGGCCATCTTGATATTGCTGCCACCATTGGTTTAAGGTGTTCTCTGGGGGAAGCAAGTCTCGTGGACGTGATTTGTTAGAACCTGTAGACCCTTTTCTGTAGTTAGAATATGTACCCTACCAAAGGAAAAAAAGTTTTGTTGCAATGTCAAGTGTGAGAAACCCAGAGGGAGGTCTTTTCTGTGAACCTGAACATCTCAAGGTGTGTGGAGGAAAGCGCCGTAGTGAGGACCGTGGGACAAGATGACCTATTTTCCATGTCAAGGAATGTTACAGGTGGTTGGCTTTTTTTTTTTAAATCGTTATCTACCTGGGTCATTTCTAGGACTGGTCTTTAAAGTGCCATTTTATCTTCAGCCGGACTTCTAGCAGTAGCCTGGATGTCAAGGGTCTCCCACAAGTTCTTGTCCCTACTCAATCTAAAATCCATCTTTTGAGACCACTATTGTAAAAAATCCAGAAAAGGTTTTTCACGCAGAAAACAAAGTTCCTCTTGCTATGCCCCAGTCCTCCAGCTTACCCTCCCCCTGTACGTACATTCACATCTGCTCCCTGCTTGCTGTCTGCTTTTAAATATATCCAATAGTTTTCCAGGTTTTAAAAAAAACTCCTTTCTGCTGCTGGCCTTTGTCCCATCATCTCTGACATCCTGGCTTTTCACTTGCCCAGAATTTTCCCAAAAATCTTAGGATTTCCACAGACCACCTAATCACATGGAGTGGGAACTGTCAGTCATTATTGTGCTAGATATTTGTTGCACGGGAGGACGCCATCTCCTTGAAACCTGACCTTCATGCAGTGTTTCTCAGAGTCAGAGCTGTGAACCACCTGCGTAAGGTCTCACAAGAGGTTTACCCCATGCCCTGATCCAGAGAGTTGGTCAGGTAACCTCATCCCCCATTTCATTGATGACATTTCTGTGCTGAGGTTCGTCACAGCCACCTTAGAGATGGGACTGTCTTCCCGATTCCATCTTTGTCTTCCTTGTCACTTGGTGTTCTCTGTCCAACTTCTGGCTCTCACGTGTATAGCCACCGTAAACATCTCCAGCTATAGTTCACTGCTGGATGTCGAACCAAATAAACTTCTTTTCTCTCCATCCTCCAAACCTGTTCCTTATCCGGGGTGTTTGATCTCAGTGGACACCCTCCAACCCAACCCTGACTTGAGCTGAGAACTCAGGTCGTCTTGGGCACCTTAGCTCCAAAACCCTCATCTAACATTTCCTCTCTGCCGTACACCTCCCCACCCACCGCATCACTGTCTTCCCCAGCTGACTGCAGGTCTTAGGACTGCTCCATCTTCCTAGCATGCTGCTCCGCAGAGAAGCCCACCAGAGCTGAAGAGTGATGGAGCCCCATCACTACTCACCTTGCTCCCCTAGAGGGCCTGGGTAGAACTGCGCCATAGGGTCTCTGAGACTGCCGCTCTTTCCTATCTTTCTCCCGCACGATGGCTGGTGGGTGTGAACAGCCTGCCTTGCGCTGGGCAGCTTCGCACTTCACCCACTGCCACCGGGGCTCCTTCAGGATCCAAAGGAGCTTCAAAAGTTCCTGGGATAATTCCATGATCTTTTCATCCATTTTCCCACCAGCTATTTAAAGCTCATGTTGTCTCACCCCCTTATGTAGGAAATTAGAAAACTCTCCTAAGAGGTTTTAAAAACATTTAATGTGAAAGCATACAGATTCATGCAAACTGTTTGACATTCGTCATAAATTTTACTACATCAGGTCTCTAGTGCATTAGAATTTGTGGCAGAATTGAGTCACAAGAAAGAATGCCTAGAAGCTTTTCAAATGCATTTGCTTCTGTCAAAATTCTGTATGACGTACTAAGCTTGTGTTGCCAAAAGTCTTGATTTACATCGTGATGAAAATGCCAAAGCAAAGAGTTACATGTGATTTGAACTTGGTCTGCTCTGCTTATTTTGTTGTAAACCACCGTCCAGTGACGCTGTATGTAGTGGAAAACAAACAGTAATGAATCTCTTGTTTCACCAGAATCCTCCAGCACTAAAGTCAAAATCATCCAGTGAGCTGAATGTCACAGGGAATTCTTGGGGGGGCGGGGGGTGTGGGGGTGTGGATCACTGTTAAGTCAGTAACCCCAGTCAGACGAAACTCTGAGTTGTGTGTCTGGGGTGGCACACCTCTGGCCTCGTCTCCCACACCCGGACAGGACAACCTCCCCATTAAAAAGGCAGCAAGAGAATCAGCGAGCGGCATGGCTGGGTTTCCCTGAGAGCGGCTGTAAAGAATTAGACCCCACAGAGAAGAAATGGCTCCATTGGGGCTAGGTTTGTATTCTGAGGTGAGCTAGTTGTTTGAGATGTTTTGTTTCTCACATAATCAAAAATTCCTCGGGGAACCAATGAACCTCAGCTATTTGTTTGGAAAGGCTTTTTTTTTAAACCCTCATAAATAAATGATTTTTTACTTCATACTTCACAATGTAATTATTTATTAGATGTCTGTGTTCTCCCACTAAAATTCCCAGCCAGCTCTTTGGGGACTGGGCCCTATCTAACTCATCTCGGTTGCCATGGTGCTGTGAACGCAGGAGGCAGTCACATGTTTCCTGAATTAATCATTGAGTGCTCCTGAATCTTCCTTTTTTCTGTTAGTTCAAAATTTACCTAACGAGGTCTCTTTACTCCGTGTCCTCACTCTGCGGTCAAATTTGTTAAGCAATGCCAACATAGAAAATATTAGTAATGTTACTGAACAGTTACACATTTTGTGTGCAGTACTCAGTGTTTTCCTGGAAAGGGTTGTCTTTTCGGTAAAGAGACAATTTGAGAGATGAGCATAAACCTTGCACACAGAAGTAACCCAACTGTTCCTTCACAAGTATCCTCAAACATGGTACCTGATTACTTTGCTCTATTTCATGCTTGTATAGAAGTTACAACCCTTGTAGTTTTTGCAATGTCTTATACTTTTCAAAGACTTCACTCAGACTGTTTAAGATTGTGTAATGCCACAATTCCTAAAACACTTTTAAAATTAGAAAGCATTCTAGGTCATAAAGGTTTTTTAAATCAACTTTAAAAAATTTTAGAAAGCGGCTTTCGATGTTTAAGAGCCCTGTGGCCCCGTGGTTACACGGGCTGCTAGCCACGAGGTCAGCAGTTCAAAACCACCAGCTGCTCTGAGGGAGAAAGACTGGGCTTTCCACACTGCCCTCTAGGTTTGCTGTGAGTTGAACGGACTCATTGACAATGAGTTTAGAGTGTGGGTTTGGGGTCTTTACGAACAAAAGAGCCTTTAATAGCAATAAATTCCTGACTTTCAGCCGTGAGATGAAAACACTATTTCATTAGTATGTGGATTTATATCACATACTATCATCATCAAGAAAATCTTTTTCCCTGTTTATATTTTTTTCTTCCTCTGGCCAAACCAATGGCAGCCCTACATCTCAGCACACATGTACATGTTTCTACAACTGACATGTAGAAAATAAAGTTTTGGATGTTTTTTCTTTAGTAAAAGCAAAACCTGTTCCCTTCCACTGACAAGTTCTCCCCTTTACTATCTGAAGCCGGCACATATTATTCCTGCTCATTCGTCTACCTTTCCAAACCCTGCACTTGTCCAGGCTGCCCCTTTGGACACCCTTCCTGCTTTCTCACAATCGATGACCATTTCCCCCTTTCGTTCTTTGGCCCACCCATCGATTTGGCGTTCTCGTTGGTAGTGAATTCTTCTACTTTGTAAAGAAAGCACAATTCTGGATATTTCTAGCACAAAACAGTCTGGGCTATATGAATCATCTTTACCAGGATAAATGAATAGCACTGGAATCGGTCTGACTACTCATTTTTCTGAAAATAGGTAAGAATATGTCAGATGTAAGTTGCGAATGTTAGATTTAAGGATTCATGTCTACTTTTTAAAAATGTTTACAATTCATAACAATTTGAATCTGATTGCCTAAATATAAGCTAAATATTTCTGAGTTAGCATTATTATCTAAGATCATTTTAGTAAAACCAAAGATAAGATGTGCAGCCTCATTTTAGCTGTGACAGTGCTATTTGCTAAGCGTTGGGATGCTAACCAAAAGGTCAGCAGTTTAAACCCACCAGCCAGCTCGGGGGGAAAAAACGAGACTGTCTGCTCCCTTAACAATTTATAGTCTCAGAATCCCTATATAAGGTCACTGAGTCAGAAGCTACTGGACTGCAGTTTGGTTTTGATTTCCCGGGTGGCAGAGAGCTAACCAGGGCCAATGACAGTGCTGCGGTGAGTTGCTGTCCAGTTTTGTGCTTCACCAGTGCTAGGCCAGAAGGGGCTGGAGATACAGCCCGCCAGCTCCTCAGAGCCCACCCCATGACTGCTGCTCTTGGGTCCTGGTGCAGGTGGCCCCCAGCAGCAGGATTTA